GTCTTTCTGTTTTGCTACTGCAGGAAAGCAACAAAAATTAAATCTGGAACATTTCCAATTTTTCCGCTAACCCTAAAATAAAACTGCAGCATTAACAACTACAAAAAAAGCTTCTATATAATCATTTGAAAATTGCCATGAACTTGAAGCATAATTTTGTTGGCGTGGTATTATTGATGTTTCTAAAATTTTTTAAATAGAAATTTCTGTTGGAAACCTAGAGTCCCCTTCCATATGCCGTACAATCACCCTATATTGCTCAGTAATATGACTGCTAAGACTGGAACTACAGATGACATAGACATGCCTTTGTTTTCACATTGATATTTCCTTATTGTTTGTAAGGAACAAATGTCCTTATTGTTTGTAATAACTTTTAGAAAAAATCCATATGTTGTTTAATAGCAGCAGGCTTTCTACACAGGAAGTGCTTGATAAGGCGTCCTTGAGAGCCTATTGTCTCAGAATGTGGTATTATATCCCATCGCCTCTGCAACTCAGTTCCTCCTCCTCTACTTGTGCTCCCTCCATTTTAATTTTCTTTTTTATCATTTAGCTACGCAGAGCTGCCTCGTGTCATTCTTTGCATACATCATCTCTGTTTTTTCTCTTTTCCTGCATAACAGCCCAGCTTTTCTGAAAGTAGCTGTTGTCCCGAGTGTGATCCCTTTACTAAAATGGGGATTGAATGAAGGTGGAGCACAAATTATCTGGAAGCAAAGGAAAACCAGGCATTTGAAAAGGACCCATAAAGGCACGAGTAATGAACCAGAGTGGCCTCGATGAATTGCTGTAGAGGGAATTCTCAGTTTCGACACAAAAGGAACACAAGAAAACCAAGGAAAACCTAGAGAGAGCATCTCAGTAGGAAGCCTGCCTCCTTGGCTGGTCGTACAGAGGGATGAAGCCAGGAGCCCTCCAGATAGGGACAGAAGCAAATGTATTTTATGAGTAACAGTCAAGCATTCAAACATGCCGTTTTGGAGCACAAGATACTTTGAGCAGTTGACATCCCTTCATAATTCATGTTCATTGTTCCTCTAAGTAAAATATGTGTCTCCCTGTAGTTATTCTGTTAGGAACTGTACTTTAAAGGCAAGAGGACATTTTTGATAATGCACATCTTAAACTTTTCATTAAACTACCAAATTTAAATTCTACCTTTTTGTGCACTCTGACATTTTTGTCTGGCATTTTCATTAATTTTGCGACATACATAAATGTAGCTGAAATGTTAACTGATCAATACTTTGTCTCTCTCATGTAGCACTAGCACTCTGTTCCCCAAGGACCACACAGCAGAACAGAAATTAAATGTGTAAAATATCAAATGTTAATGTTAAACACAGCGGCACTTACTGTATAATGACAGAAAAGGCTAAAACAATTCCAAATGGACAGATGGTACCACAAATTATCTACAATCACATTTAAAGATTAAAGTTTGTCCTGTAAAATAATTCTTTGACGCACACTGAAGTGTGTCCTTTTACTGATAGCTCAGTTGTCCAATTATTTTTGTGCTCATTACAGTGAGAAATGACAGTACTAGAAAGAAAGAGAGAATGTGCACTCTTTTTTCCCCCATGTTGCACCCACTGACATCCATAAGAACACAAATGTCTGGTCAAGAGCCTGATGAAAATTAGGCCCAATTTATGAGACATTTCCACGTCTACAATAGATAATTCCCAAAGATGAGCTGGGCCTCCTGCACCACATCCATCTGCGTTCACTCTCAGGCAGATAATATTCATAGTAAAATTTAAAAACCTAATTCACAGCACAAAAACAAGGACATTCCGAGGAACGTGTTTGCTTTTATTTTATCCATCACCTTCTAGGCCGATTTCAGCTTCTAACATCATTGGCTGGCTTTGAATCTTCCCCACAGCACGTAGGTTTAGTGCAAAAGAGGCCAGAGCATCTCTAACCCTGCATTTCTCATTCTCTCCACTTTGCTTGACATTAGGACAAAAAATTAGTTTTTTCCGTTTTGATTTCATTATTCTACATTTATTTTTGGATAGTAAATTAGAAAATAAAAATAAATCAGAACAGAAAAAAGGCACTTAAACATTATAAAGTTTACTGATCTGGGCCTAAAACCAAGCCACATAATGGTACAAATGCACATGCTCCATGAGGCAGCTGCATTTATGAAAAAGTGGGCCAAGTGGAACCAATATTATAATAATAGACTCATGATTCAGCCACAGGGAATGATGGGAACAATATGTTTGTAACAATGGGGTGCTGCTCATACTCCTCTCCGAAAGGAAAGCAACTCTCTTCAATAAACTGGCCTAAAAAGGCTCTGGTTATGCAGTGGTATCTTTGAAACATTTCATTTTTAAGTACTCATATCATTTAATATCTATAAGATAAATAAAAATCCTACAACAGGTTTTTGTTTTTTTCTGAATAGTTATGATACTAAGATTACACGGTACATATTTAAAAGTTCTTTTAGAAAGAAAATAATATCTGCTGTGTGACTTTGGCCAAGTTGGTTAACTTCTCTGTGCCTCAGTTTCTTCCTCTGTATATTGGAAAATAATAGTATCTACTGCATAATAAGGTTGCTGGGAATATTAAATTGATTAATGCATGAAAAACACTTTCTTGCATTAGTGCCTGTAAAACAGTTCCCTGACTCATAAATTCTTAATAAATATTAGTTGTCATTGTTATATTAAGAATTTTGTATCAGAATTTAATCTGAGGTTAAAATAGATGATTGATAGATTATAAAATAGTTTAGAATGTAAATAGAAGGTCTAGGGAAAATTGCTACGACCGTATTAAGCTATGTCTATCATCATTTAATAACTAGCTCTATTAGAGCAAACCCTTATTAATCTGGCATCATTGAATAAAGAGTTTCTCCACATAAGAAACATTTTCATACTGGTTCATTGGTTGGTTGATTAATTTAAACAGCCGTTTATATTGGGAGGCAACTAAATGCTAGATGCCCCATAGGTGATGGTGGAGTACAGGTGAAAATGGCAGGGTTCCCATTTTCATGGAACTATCTGTTCAGGTCTAGATAAGTGTGAAGTTTGGTTTTTTCATTTGTTGTTTTCATCACATTCAACTGAATGTAATTCAGCATTTTTTCTTTCTTTCAGTGAAACAGTTAACATCATTGTTTCTTCTCAGAAGTACTCTTAACCTGGGTTCACATATTAGTTTGTGGCCCCTTTTCACCATCAGGGTCAGCAGTCCCTTCTCCCTTTACCGTGCCCTCCCTCCCTTTCGCAAGCAACTCGCGTTCGGCTTGTTTCACGGCACTGAGCCTGTTAGAAACTGGCCACCAGCGAACAGAGATATTACATTTCTTACCCAGTGAACCTTGACCCTCTTACAGTGAAATCACTCAAGTATTATCAAGTAGATCCCTAAGTTTCTCAGAATTTCCGTGGCTGGTTTTTTTTTTTAAATCAGAAAAATTTTGAACAAAGTCTGCCATCTTGAATTCACTTCACATGAGTGACATCCAGAAGCCAGGTGAATTTTATGAAGACTTACAAAACACGTTGTAATGCTCAAGTGTTAAAAATGAATGTTCCTGAACAAATTATATAATTATGTAGATTTCTCTGTTTTCAAGTTTTGCAGACATCTGTGTAGAATGACTCTGGAAGAGTGAGTCAAAGACGGCAGCTTAATCTTTTTGGTAGAACATCATTGTGCCTCTGATAAGGCTCCACGGAACTTCGACGTGATGGCATAAATATACAAAGAATCTCAGTATCATTTTTTCCTTATTAACATCCAAATGCCTCTATGATAGTGAAAAATCGTGATAAAGTTTGCTTAACAGTACCCCCCATGTACTTAATATATGAAAGAACTAAATAAAAGAATATTGAAAGAGGCAGAGTTTCCTTTCTAAAACTTAATGATGATGACGATCTCTTTCTTTAAGACGACAACAACATGCCTATGGGAAGCAGGCTGCCCAACTTTCTGGTAACTTACAACATAAAGGGACATACAACTCTTTGTTCCATGTGCTCAGGCATTAATGAAAGTCCCATACAAGGCCTGAAAGGAGGGCAGAGCTCAAAGCACTAAACAGATGTGCACACACTCATTTGAATGTAATACTAAAATGTTGATTTGTTACTATAATTAAGGCTCTTTAGGTAAACCCCATAATAAAGTCATATTCTGCTAAACTGGCAACGATAAGGAAGAGTAAGGCACTCAGATTCTAACAAATATGACAATAAAATAAAGGATTCCAAATGAAGGACTTCACTTAAACTTCAGACTGAAATCCTGAACAAGCAAAAATAATGTGAAAGCAGAAAATTCCAGCTAAAGCTCAGAGGGAAGAATTCTTTGGGATTTTCTGGCTTTAGCAAATTGGTCTCCTCAGAAGTTTTTAAATAACCAAAATAAAAGGCTACAAGATGAACATTGTTAGAGGACTATTTGGATCTATCAAATTCTCACCGGTGCCTTTTTAAAAACTGGAAATCTCAGAAATAATAAAATGCCGCTTAAATAGGTCACATCCACTTCCAATTGATTCACATATTAAAGTATTACCAGCTAGCATTCTACTGTCAATGATTTTCATATTTTGAAAAAATATCTATAGAGTGAATATAATGAAAATGAGGATGGTCAAGATTCTATTATTATTATTTTTTTTAACACAAAGGACTTCTCTTGGCTTTGCTATTGGGATTTGGGATTATACAATATATAACATTTTACTTTTTAGCTGTCATGGAGAATATTATACATTGGTGGCGGAGATGTCTTGCGGTCCGGAAGTCTGGGGGAGGGGGGGGCTGTGTTCTTGGACTCAGACCTTGAACAATCCATCAGGTTCTGCCCACGGCAAATCTGTCCAGTAAAGTCTTAAAATAGGAGTTTTAAAATGGCCACATCAACATAACTGTTACTATAGCCACAGAAACACACAGCTATGATTACTGAATTTACTGAATAACAATGTAAGTAATACAGTGTGATCATACCACAAAAGCAGCAAGGCTCCTTGGGGGTGAGTCCCAATCAAAGCAACTGTTAACGTAGTATGCAGCATTTATAAGCACCATGACACAACGCTTCGTTCTGATGAAGTTTCTTAGAAGCAGCTATAATGAAGATGAAATAGTATTAGAATTTGCAGGACTAAAAGCCATCAGATATGCTGTAAAATTCTTCAAGCTTACCGTGATTTAAAAAGGATTCAGAAAGTTAATAAAGTTGTAAGAATATACCAAGCAGTTTAGCTGATGAGTTGAAGGAAAAGAAGTATCTCTGGAGGAAGTGGAAGAAACTGAATTATAAGAGCAATTTCTTAGCTAAATATATTTCTTTAAATAATATTATCAGATAGGTTGGACTACCTTGTTCAGAAGGAAAAAAAACCTACAAAGGATTAAAAACATTTTTTGCTACTTACTGCAAACCTTAAATATATTTTTTAACTTTTAAGTCATATTGAGGTTGTAAGATTCTTTAAATGCTTTCATTTCAAGCAATTTCAAAGTGAAATGAATAACTTGGGATATTTTTATTTAGGGCCTTAGAGAAAAACCTGCCAAGGATTACTTTATTATAGAAAACATTTTTTCTACCATTTTAGTAGGATTCTTCCTTTCTTACTATCATATTCTTATTTTTTCTCTCTTTCCCTTCCCTTCTTTCTGTCTCTACCTTTCTCTTTCCCACAATAAATTTAACCTGCATTTTCTCATAATTTTGTAGTTAGGGAAAAATTTATGGTAACCAAGTACTTTACAAACTCTTTTACTGAGAAATGTGTATGAGAATTGATATAATTGAAATTAAAAATTTAAAACTAAGGCGTGACTTCAACTATAAAAAGAACAGCCCATACACTAGATGTGGTTAAAAAAATTATCTACAGCTATGTTAATAATTAGAATAATATGTCTGCAGGTTAATATGTTGTTACTTCCAAATATACTTCAATGCTGATCTAGTATTTTAAAGAAGTAGCAATGTAAAGTTTACTGAGGTCATATGGAAAAAATATATATGTGTAACTATAAATGCAAGTACATGCATACCAGCTTTAATAAGTTATTCAAATTCAAATTCCTTTCAGTCAAATTTAGAAGTCTCCCCACTTGTTTTTCTTCTTGGCCCCTGATTACTTCCTTTAAGAGCTATTTTTATTAATTTTATCTATAATTGTGGAAAAATGTAATCTGTATTCTGTTTAGATAGATATTGCATTTGTAACTCATACACATTCTTTAAACAACCTAAGTTCCCACTGTTTATGGTGAATTGATTGGATTAAAAATAAAAATCTTTTTAGCCTTCTAATAGCACAAAAAATTATTAAGTATTTTAACCCACACCAATACATTCTGTAAACTTTTAGACATATCAAATACATTTTATTTTAGCTGTGCTAATTAGAAGTAAACATTTTTTAAAGGGGTCGCTTAGTACTCTTTCTTAAATTGATTCAAACCTAATTTAGAACAATAAGTCTAATTACAAGCTATCAAGCCTAATTTAAAATTTCTTCATGACAGAAAAATCAGAGTTCCTGATTTTCTATTTTCTTAGCTGAAAATGTCAATAAAAGTTCACTTCGAAAAGATCATAGTCAAAATCTAATTAAGAAGGTTCCCCTTAAAAGATGGAGCCCCCTCTCTTGTGGATTAGAGGGAAGAGCTTTATGCTGGGCTCGCTTTACACACACCTGCATCATACCTGTGGGTGGTCTGGACATATATTTGAACCTCAGCTTTTAGTGATCTCATTTACACATTCCATGGCAATCAAATTGTATTTTATGTTCAAAATGATCATTCTTTTGCTAAAGCATGAATACATATCCATTCTATGCAGCGTCTACAGTATCCCCTTTCTTTTTTGACCACCCCCATCCAATTTATTAATTTGGTATTGTCCCTGTTTGATCATTTAAGGAAACGAAGGGAAGAGAGAAAAAGAAAGAAAAAAGAAAGAGCCATTTCACATAACTAGATGATCAAATATTTCATTGTCTTCCCCACCTCCACATCTCCAAAGTTTATTTGAATTTAGCTAGATGTTTTACAGATATAATCAGGTCTTCCCCGAGGGATTAATCTTTCCTTGCTTTTTACCTGTTTAGAGAGTCTGTTTTCCTCTTCAATGTACTTCTGTTCTTTGGGTATTAATGTTCGTAAGCTGGCTTTCACCTATACATCAACATATGTGTCTGTTATGGATTAATATATAACAAATGTTTACAAGTTTTTCATGCAGTTCAATTTGCAATCGTTTCTAAAGTTTCAAAGACCTGGCTGCTGTGCTCATAAAATATAAATGTGTACAGTGGCACACGCATGCCCCTCCGTGGCTCACGCAGGCAGGCAGGCAGCGGCCGGGGCCCGGCCGGAGCCGCCGCCAGCCGCGGCAGAGTGTGGGTGTGCCAGGCAGTGGCAGGAGCGTGCTCTCCGGGACGCATCAAGGTTTAGAGAAAATGAGGAATGACAGAAATTCTCTACAAATCAGGAACAAAAGCTTTCATGAAACTGAACTCTTTAGCAGTACAAAAAAGCCAAAGTTAAGACTTACAGCATTAAAAATCACATCTATTTCAAGATAGATGACCCCCTTTGTTGGCCCTGTCAGCTGCTTGTTTTTCAAGACGTAGGCTTTCTGTTCACCATTTTGAATCTGCGGGAAAAGGACATGACAGCCGTCTGTCTCACGGTCTCCACTGAATACACTCCCTCGCTGACCTTTGACCCCCAGCTGCTGAAACTGACAGAGAACCCAAAACAACTGTGGCAATTCTGACAAGTACCTGTTCATTACCAGGATCAAGTCTGTCAGGAAAAATTAACTATCATGGGATTCAACATGGCCGTGAATTGAGTATGTTAAAATTTTTAGTGTTCTTATTACAGACCTTGGTTGAGAAATGACAGATATAGAGCTGAGGTGGTTTTTTTTTTCTCCTTGAGCAAAAGCAACCCAGGGCAGGGTGTCAGGTGAATAAAACTTACAGATAGCAATGGTATAGCAACTTTGCCCAGAAAGTCAGCACTTCGATCCCGATCTTCATCATAAACTGTCACTTCAAGAACTGAATGGATATCTTTAATGTTGCTGCATAATAAACATACATGAAAAAAAGACTCATCAGCGGAGAACAAAAATTAAAATGCTTTTGGAAATTTAGATAGCTCCAACTGATTTTGTGTGGATGTGTTTTTACGTATGCTATTTGCATACACACAAACACAAGGTAGCTTGGTATCTGACAGAATTTCCCACAATGCACCTTAGTAGACTACAGTGATGGTTCTATTATCTGGAACTTTGAACACCATCATAATTTCAAGTTATAATTTTTTAATGAAATATAATTTTCCATCTGGATGGGCACAGAATAAATTATTATAAAAAAACCAAACCACCAAAAAGTGGCACTGATATTTTTTAGGCTTTTCCTTCTCCTCATTATCACAATAATTTCTACCTTCCTATTACCCCACATAAAACAACACCAGGTTTGATATTAGCAAGAGTCATAATATACTTAATATAATTCTGTTTTTTCTTATAATAGGACGTCTTTTTGTTTACCGCTCTCATGAAACATTGAGTTCTTTCTGTTGGGTTTATCGTAAAAATTAACTAACACAGAAAATAGAATGGAGAAAATGTAACACTGATAGCTACTGTACCACCCTAGGATTTAGAAATTAAGTAGTGTTCCATTATGTCCCAAAGACAACATATGTTAATAAACAATCGTGCAAGCTCTTCATATTTTTGTTTCTGGAAAAATAAGCCCCAATTGTTGACAGCATTTATTCTTTGATCAAACTGTTTACTGAGAAAACATGAATTAAGAGAAGACAAAAATGAATATATTCGTTACTGAAAGACTGCAACCACGTGTGAGAAAAGGCTTTATCGGGGCACAATCAATTAATGGCTTTGATAATAATCAAACCTATTCATTCAATTATGCATTCCAGAGAAAAACACTCTCCACAACCTTCTTAGGACTGCAAGTCTCCCGACCAGGGCTTTCATCTTTTATAAAAATGTGGAATTCCTTAAAGATAAATTGGTCAGATAATTGAATTTGATTAGTTACTGGCTCTTAAGCAGAGACATTATAAGAAATTAGTAAGGAATTTAGTAGTTTTTCAAATACAAAAAAAAAAAAAAAAACTGTTAGAAAACTTGTAAGAAGCACTTCTGTTTGGAGTTTTCCTTTGTTCAGAGTTCGTTACTAAAGCCCAGTTTAAAAAAAAAAAAAACAAAAACACACCAAAATAAAACAATGAACTTCAGGGATACTATAGTGTAGCACTGGCAGCTTTTATAGTGCATGATCAAAATGGTTTATAAACTTTTTAAAACAAAAGGAAAATCAACTCATAGGGTGTTTTGGTCCCTAGGACAATACTTAATATTCTTATTGTGCTAAAGTGCAGCAAACCAAAACTAAAGCATCTGCCGAACTGGAGGCCGATTGCTTGCTGGTTTGAGCGATGGAACAAACAGAGCTTTGTCCTATTTGGTGTCAGTGTGATCGGGGAGAATGTCCATGGGAAGCAGAAAAGGAAGAAGCAGCGTGGCAATTTATTTAATGTGAGCAAAATCCTTAGGCAAATCATATAGAAAGCACAGTTTAAAAAAACATCTGTGAAAACAGAGAGAAACGGCATATACCCGTTCCCCAGGTCTCACCGTCAGGAAGGTGATGCGATTGTGATATTCACTGTTGCTAACCAAGGCAGCTCGGGTGCACTGAGCTCTTAGCCAGTTAAGAATAAACGCACACACAAAAATCTCAAAAGTAAATATCATTTAGCACCATTTTTGAAATGAGCTCAAGGTAATGACTACTTACAATGTGAAGACTTTGTTCCATTCAGGATTGAGATTTTTGTAGACGGTATGTGTTAGCAGTCTATCATTGTTCAGTTCAACTACGCAGAAAGGGTCACTTTTACCTACAAGAGAGTCGGGGGGAACCTTTTTAGTATAAATAGCACCCACAGTTCAGATTGGCATAATCACGACAACATCTCTTTTTAAAAACAATGTTATAGAAAACAAAAAGTGAAGTACAATTAAAAAAAATTTAAAACATCAAAATAGAGAGTTAACTATAACTGGATGATGTTAATCATTGTGATTTATTGAAATTTAGAGCCAGAAAATTTTAAAAAAGGAAAAGAAATTATATAGCCAATATTTCAACTTGTAATTTTTAACAAAATAATAATATAACAGCTAATTATGAGGGAGAATGTAATGCATATCCATCCCTAACAGTTTTTATTTATTCCTATAGTGACAGTTTGAAAGGTTCAGTCCCTTTGTTTTTATCCATATATTTTCCAACTCATCTGACTAACTAGTAACTTGTAACGGACATTCCTAAACAAGTTGATATTGGGAAAACTCTTATATTGCAGAATTACGACATTTTAATCTGACTTAAGATTCTCTTCTGAAATATCTGAGGCATCACAAAAAGGCAAATTAGGCCATCTGAGGCAGAAAAAATTCTGTCATTTGAAACTTAACCTCAACAATCAGTCTACATGTTAAAGAGCAGTATTTTTATTTTATTTTTTTTGTCCACTGAGAGTAAAGGTTTTGGAAGTTATCTGTTTACAGCAACTCTGTTTTTCCAGTCAAATCTCGTCCATTCAGCAATTACATTTTGTGATGTCCTCAATATTTTGTAATGTCACGTCCTGTATTATAAGAACCCATAAAGTCAGAGGCTCTATGGGGGCAGCATTAATGATATTACTGCAGCATGTAATTTGTTTGATACCTTATACAAATGACAATGAAATCAATATTTGGACAAAGCTGTCCAGAGGTCATATATTTTAAACTACAATATTGATTTAGACTACATAAGAGGTTAATGTGAATATTATTAACTTTAATGATAAAGAATAATTGTTTTAAATGCATTGTGAATTGTAGTCACAGTAGTTTGCACTTCTGTGAAAGCTTAAATATCATTGAAGATTTTCAATTAAATTTTAATAGGAAAGAATTCATTAGCTATCAGTGACAGATAAGCTATGTATTCCTACACAGCAGTGTATTTACTTTCCATATTGTAATTCTTAAAATGAGCTGTACAAACTTTGACTCACCTTTAATTTAATTTATTAATTTTATATTAAAAAAGAGATTTAACATGCGTGTGTTAGTTCAGTGGCCTCATATACCCCAGGATAATTGCATACTTTAACATTATGGTAGTCTTCTCAATTTTTGGTCTTGGGAGTAATTTTCAATAAAGAATAGAGGACTGAGAGTCTTCTAGGTCTGGTATGAATTTTACCTGTGGCTTAGGATGTGTGTTATCTTTATTCCCCACCTTCATTGCCCTTGCCCTACCTGCTACCATCCTCACTTATAACTCACACACCATGGAAAACAGTATTCGAAAAAGAATCTTTTGTTCATTAGAACACATTGTAATAAGTTTTATTTGCCACATGAACAACTTTATTTTCTCCCATATACTTCACATATAAGCATAAAAATTCCATTCAAACAGTTCTCAAAACCTTACTTATTTTTAAGGCTCATATTAAGTATCTCCTTTCCACTTAGCTTTGTGCTGGATACTACGGTATAAACAAAAGAACAGAGAAGATAAACCACAACCTCAAATAGTTTATAAAAGTGTTGGAGAGATAAAACATATCTACTATAACAACGAGAAGAACATTAAAGCCATATTTATGATAGAATTCCTTGTCAAAAGAGTAACTACTTCACTTTAGACAAGACTTTAGATTAAATGATTAGCTTGGGAAGCACATAGTTAAAAGACAAGTGTAACTCCCATACTCTTTCTTGGATCTCCTTTTAATTTTTCTCATACATTCATATTAATCTTAATGCAGGGGGGGAAAAGACTATATAAAGATAGCACTTTTTGGTATTCTTGTTTCCCCATTTTCATTTGCTTTACTTCAGTTACTATTCTGTTTCAACTGACTTGGTTTTACTTCCCCTCAAGCGATCACCAATGTGAAATAGATTTGTTCAAAACTGTACCACCTCTTCAAAAGCAAAACACAAGAACTAACTCCGGAGACCAATAGGTATGGGCAGGGGTGGGGAGTGTACTTTAAACATCTACAAGCAGTGGATGAAAATCTTTATTTGATTCCACCCCCCAGGAGTTATATTCAATTGTGTACAAAGTCTCCAATTCTTTTAATTTACCCCATGGAAAGTCTCTTAAATCACCACCTTTTTCGTTACTGTATTTTTATTTGCTGACAAAAAGAGATCTGGAGCCAGTGATTGGCTGAAAGATCCTAAAGAAACAAAATCCATTCTTATGTTTAACACTCCCCATATCTTAAGAAACCAATACATTTATCAAAGCCTATGCCCATGAGGCAGTGCCTGTTCACATTTTCTTAGTTGACCATTCCTAGGGAAAAACAATATTAGTCATTTATCATCACATTACTTAACTCTCTCAGTCGCTCTTTTCTATTGGAATAAAGGTGTTAAAGTATTAGAGACCAAAATAACAGTTTGAGCACCCTCTGAAGCCACTTCTCAGTCATTTTGCTATTCTAAATTCCAGTGGCTTAACATCGTTGTCAAAACATTGTCCTATTTGAACTTATAACTTGAAATGGGTAAATAATGTAATTTTTAAGAGAACACTGTATTAGACACTGTGTGGAATGTCATGGTACTTAATTTTTTTAAAGAAGAGTCTTTGCCTAAGACAGACCAAACTCCTATTTAACATGGCTTTAATTTATACCAATTTTCCCCAATCCAAAATCCATTATTCTCAGTGTGCTTGCAGTCTTATTAAAGGCTGAACTGTGGTCAGTGACATGAACAATCCTTGACAATTCTGCCATTTTGTACTTCTCAGAAGCCTGATTCTCAAATTTAATACCTTGATGTCTTCCCAGAGCCCATAGGTTAAAACCTACATTGTATGGCATGGGATATAGTCTTTCAGCCTCATCTTCAATCTCAAGATCTTTTCAGCCCCTCACTTGAGCTACACCACATCTTTCAAATCCTCAAATACTCCATGTACTTCCAAAAGTGTGGGCAAGGCACTGAAGTTCAAAGTGAGAGGCCAGTGGTCTGGGGGGAAAGGCCTAAATTTCAGAGGCTGTGCAAACTGGGATTGAACACTCACTCCATGATTCTGGGCCTGTTCCCTTCTGTAGAAAGTAGTGACAGTAATAGCTATTTGCAGAGATAATTCAACTAGCAGAATGTCTGGCACACTAGCAGGACATCAATAAATAAGAGCTTTAAGTAATGCCTTTTCAAGCAGAAATATTTAAACCATCAAAATGTGCTTTAAAGTACAAAAATAACAGAAAACAATTCACATCTTAAATTAAATCTCCTAGTAAAAAGTAAATATTTGTAAAATATTTTACAAAATATAACAAATAAAGGGCAATTATAATATTTATTATAATAATTGCAAACATTTACTGAGTTGTATATTATTATAAGCCCAACATTATATTTTATGTTCATTTGCTTGAAGATTTTATGACTACTCTATGAGAAAGGAAGTTTTACTGTACCAATTTTACACACTAGGAAACTGAGGCTAGCAGATTCTGTAACTCAGCAGGTCATAGGTTGTAAATAGTGGAGCTGTTATTTAAACCCAGATCTATCTGACCTTCAGAGCCCTTGATCTATCCATATGGTCCATGTTCCCATCAATGAAATATATTTAAATGAAAGTCACGAGGCAAGACCTTTCCCAATAACCATGAAGTATCTTAGTAATTAGTAGGCAACACACAGGAAGAATTGGCTGTTTTTATCATAGATTCATTCATTCAACAAATACTTATTCCTTATCATGTATCAGGCAGTATTCTATGTGTTGAGGAGATATAAGTGCATAAAACAATTAAAAAATAACAACACTGAATTAATGGAATTTACATTGAGAAAAAAGGCAGATAATGAATAACATTTTGGAGTGCTTTAGAAAGTGGTAAGTACTATGGAGAAAAATAAAAATGGGAAGGGTGATGTGGAGTGCTGGTATGTACATGCAATTTTTAATAAAGGGGCTGCCAAAGAAGGTCTCATAGACAAAGTGACGTGGGCGAAGGAATGAAGGAGGCAGGGAGTGAGCCTTGGGTTACCTGGAGGAACAGGTCATGGAAAGGTCAGAGAGGTGACTGTGTCTGATGTTTCTAGGAATATCCAGGAGGCCAGTGTGACTGGAGGAATGGACTGAGGTGGGGAGAGCGATGGATGACATAGTCAGAAGTGCACGGAGGTTGGCAGGCCTCTGTAGGATGTGTTTATCACTCTAAGTGGAAGGGGAAGCTTTTGGAAAGAACTGAGCTGACATTCAATATTATCTGATGACAGCTGTTTGGAGAATAGGTAAGAGAGGGCAATCAAAGAGTTAGGGAGAAGTGTCAGGAGGCTATTGCAGTAATCCAGGTGGTAGAAAGTAGTTAGATTCTGGATATATTTTGAAGGTAAAATTAATAGGATTTAGAGATGTCAATATTGAACAACCTATTATGCCTGATGCTATTATTTGGAGATAAAAAACAATTCATTGAGCTTAGCCAGGCCTGCGTTTTTTCCCCAAGGTCAAGATGTATTCAACAAAGTCCATAGACTGGATATCTAAAATCCAACAAAGAGGAAAAGCAGGCAATTTTAAATTAATTTCTATTTATCTTTTCCATATAAAAATTATCTTTTTACAGGTATCTGTAATGAATGCCAAGATCAGGTCATTACACAGTGTGTTATTTTTGACTAATTTAGAAAGTATCCTTCTGCATGATTCAAAGGCAATAAATATTAACAGCAATTTCAACCAAAATATTAGTAAATGTACAATACTGAGTTCTATAAACTTACAACTAAAAAGCATACACTGTAGTTTTATTTTAAAGAAGTGGCTACACACAATTAATGTTTGCTAAATGAT